TGTGGCGCAAGGCTTGCATTGCATTTTGAATGGCTGACGCTGCATGACGCTCTGCGCTGCATGACACTCTACGTGCGCGGCAAGTGCATGGCATGCTGCATGGCATTCTGCATGACAATGCACGGCACCTGGCATGGTACATTGCATGGCACCCTGTGTGGTGTGTGGCACTCTGCATGAAACGCAAGGACAGGAGAAGAAACGTACCCAGGACTAGACGAGTCCGTCAGTGGCTTCGGGTTGACACTAAACCTGGCGCCCTTTCTTTCTTTCTGTGGTGCTCCTTGACACAGGCACGGTAGGGAAGGGGCCTCAGGGTGACCTCAAGCTGACGTCAACGTAGCCTGATCTCATGGTGGCCCGAAGGTTACCTGACAGTACCTGAAGCTGGGCCCAAGCTGACTTCAAGCTGACCTCACTTCAAGGCGACTTCGAAATGACTTCAAGCTGACCTCAGAGCCTCAGGGCGACTTCAAGCTGACAAGCTGACTTCAAGCTGACCTCAAGGTGAGGGTGGCTTCAAGCTAAGTCTCGCAGAATTGCTTCGTTTTTGATGTTGTCAACTTCGGAAATTAAGGAAGTCTCGCAGACTTGCTTCGTTTTTGACGTTGTCAAGTTCAAAAAGTGAGGACGTCTCGCAGACTTCTTGCGTTTTTGATGTTGTCAAGTTGAAAAATTGAGGACGTCTCGCAGAATAGTTTCGTTTTCAAGCTTGCGGATAGACAGATAGAGTTACAAACAGAGAGATGGATAGATAGACAGGCAGATAGATAGACAGAAAGAGAGATAAACAGGGATAGATAGACAACTGCAACTACACCACCCTACATTACAACAACAACTACGACTACATTACACTACATACACTACAACTACAACTTTCAACTACATTACAGCTACAACTACGGTAACTACATTTAAATATACGGACTTTTAAATATACGAACAGGTATTTTGGACTACCTCCGGGTAGGTTTTCCTTGGCCCGCCCGGCCATTTAAACATACGGAATCCAAGTCATTTAAACATATATGGCAGCTACATTTAAATATACGAACTGGTGTTTCATACTACCTCCGGGGCCTCGCAGTGTGGCCCGCCCTCCATATATTTAAATGTCGCTACCGTAGAATTCAAATTCACCTTCAACTACTACAACTACAACTACGCTACACCACAACTACCCCCACCACCACGGCTACAAGTAGAACTACAACTACACTCCTCTACAACTACAACTACAACTGCAACCACACTGAGCAACACTACAACTACAACTACAGCTACAGCTACACTTCAACTACAATTACTACTACAACTACACCACACCACACTACATTCAGCAGCTGTGGGCGAGGTAACCACTGCAACCACTCCAAAGAGCGCAGCTCCAACCACCCTTCGGTCCATCAGTGGATTCGCCCTGCCATCCATGCACAACAGCTCACCTTGCCTATAGTTGTCTATCTTTGAAACTTCTGCCACTGCCTTTCGCGGTGCTACTGGTAAATTTTAAAATAAAGAATAAATAAGAATGTAATTTAAACGATATAAATATACACAAATATCTAAATATATACATATTATTTTTTTTTATTTTATTGATTTTTATTTAATAATAGAGATACAAATTTTAGCCCAAATATTGTGGGTGAATTTGGTATAGGTCTCATGGAGTAGGAGGAGCATTCGGACCCTCAGTTAAGCGGTCGAAGACCCAAAGAACGCCGTACAAGAAGATAATTGAACCAATAATGACCTGGCCAAAAAAAGCGGAGTATTTGGAGGATGCTCTCCCATTTAGAATATGTGATTTTTGTAAGTGGTTATTTTACCATGTTAATCCACTTATACATGGGATAACCCAAGTTGGGGGACTTACTAACCAGAGTTTTTGACCACTAAGTGGGATGATCCTCCACGGATGAGTAGCCGCAGAAGATGCAGCCAATCTAGAACAGCTGCTCTTCTCAACTTCCACATATATAAAGTACTTTGAAATCTGACGACTCAGAGGCTATAGCTGTCCTCCAAAGAATTTTTGAATAGATTTTCTCCATCACAACTAGGAATCAATACCTAACAATGCCATCCTGGCACAAGGACGTCTTGGAGGGCCCCAACAATTGTCCGGTTCCGATGTGATCTTTAAGTCCCCCAAATTGGGGAAACATCTGTAACGTTGCCAGCTGCACCGTGGGCACAGTGATTTCATCTGCTTCTGGGGTCAGCAACCTGGCGACACGTGTGAAGGAGTGCTGTGTCATTTACCAAGAGCTTGACAGAGCTTAACCTAGCATGCGAGTATGGCCCAATACACTGACACTCTCCCCCTACTTTTAGACAAGGCTGAATAACCATCTCTGAGGCACTACTGTGGCATATATGTCCAGAGCCACTGGGGGCATCATCAACACTTGCACTATGCCTTTGAGAGCACCGGCAGATTTGAATGAGCCAAACATACTTCGCCAATGGCCAAGCTTAGCAATCCTCCCCAAGTAACAATAAAACCTGCGAATCAGCCATTTAGAACCCCCCACTCAGAGGGGTTGAACAAACTGGGCTCCCAGACCATTCATCAAAATTGAAATTGGGATCAAAGAAATTGGGAATTTCCGCAGCAACGGCAGCCTGAGGTGCCTCGAGATGACAGGTGGACATAGATGGACCTTGTAGGATTACAAGTGAATGGCGCGTAACGTGTCATACACGACCTTGGTATCAAATGTGAGTGAAAGACGTTTCACAAAGCCTATCCATGTGGGCTGCTTTGCGATAGAAGTTGGCACATGTCTTGGAAACCATACCGGTTGCAGGGTCCGAACCAAAGTGAAAATCATTGGAAGAAATAGCGAAACAAATACCACAAGGGTCTTGGGTCAGCATACAGCAAGGTGTCTTTTCTTGATCGTGCCATATTTAACTAGTGAGAAACGCAGTCGAAGATCAGTAAGGAAGGGAACTCACAGAGCTAATGTGGATTCCTGTGAATACTTCTATGAAAATATGGGGCCCAATTGACTCAACTTGTTGCTCAAAGTCGATAGAAAAAGGACTGCTTAAGGTTGCATGCACATGTGACAATCTCTGCTCGATGCTGGTTCCCCTCCTTCTGACACTCATGTTCATCAAGGCTTGCTGTGCGCAGGCAAATGTGCTTGATACTTGATACACATTTGGCTGCAAAAGGCCAGCATGTATATCATGTAATCCTCCAGTAAAAAAAGTTTCATGAACAATTCATATTAAATTCTGCCGCTTCTCCCACTTCTCCCCTCAGTACAGTGGCTAACCACACTGATTTCCTTTACAACACATGTGGCAAAGCCAAGAATACTAGCGTACACCGTCTACCATCCCCCAAACTAACATAGACCCTGCCATGAGACACGGCTTGGAAGACTATTAATACATTCCTCTAAACAGTAATGATTCTCAGGGTCAAACTGTATCAAACTGTTAGTTCTCCGATTTCACCATCTGGGGGTCGACTAAACACATTAAAAAATCATAGCCATCCAAGCTGCTGCTGCCGCGGTCACGGCAACTGCTGCCACATTGGCCTGACGCTTTATCCAAGTTATATCCCAATTCATGGGGTTGGAACCGTATGGACATATTCAGCCATGATTTTTCTAGTCATGATTTATGGGATCATAATGGAATGCATGCGATATATAATTGTATAATTACATATCATATATATAATATCATATATATATAATATATATAATCATATATATATATATAATCATATATATATATATATAATCATATATATTATGACCATCAATAGCAGTGTTTAGTATGATCGAAACATGGGATTGGTCTCGATCTTCTATCAAACAGTCGGAGCCGGTGAACATACCATCTTGGAGGAGCAGCTGCGTGGATGGGCTTCACAAAAAAAAAACAACTCCTACGGTGGATTGAAGAAATCCTGCACCACCAAAAGGAAGGTTGAAACCCTATAAACAATGGGAGAAACCCATCAACTGGTGCAAGATTTCTTCAGTATGCTTCCAGTCACTTCATGTCCGAATTTCCCTTCAGATTTCAACCGAAGTTTCCAATTCAGAATCCCATCCCAACTTGCCACCCAATCACTCCCACCTCCCTTGGTGCCAAGAAAGCACGCGGCCATGAGGCTGCGATGAGGCCAAACAAAACCAAGACCTCGGTGTTTCTTTGTTTTGTGCCATGTCAATAGATGGAAATAAGGAAACCCTGTACGGGTCTTTTTAGCAATCAAACATGGTGTTTCCATATGTTTCCTGCAACATTTTCACTTCATCCATTTATGGATAAGGATGCCGGAATGATGTCCTTTTCGGGCAATTTGCTGGGTGTTACCTCCCTGTAAAATGCATCCATGTCCAAAGTCTCTATATTCCATCGGACACAGGCCTTCAACTGGGTCACAACTTCCCCCGAAAGCAAGTGGATCCGAGCCGCGAAACCGCTTTGACACTCACTCTTGAGAGACTTCAAACACATACAACACATCAAACATGTTTTATTTTTTCTGTGTTTTCTGAACAGAAAGAAATCATGACCTCACTCGTCTTGTCCCCATAGTCCCAACAGTACTGAGAAGCCAACTGGAAGGAGGCGAGACCGCAACTGGGCCATACCTGCTGGTGTGGGATCAGGAGTAGACATGTGCCCTTCTGGTGGCTTGAGACAAAAAGGACTGTAAGTTGAACCCTTCCCCTTGTGAATCAAGACCCACAAAGCCTGATTTGATAGTAGATCTGTTGATCTTGGGGTCCCATTTGATGTGTAGCCAGGGACTGAAACCTCAGAGTGAGCCTGAAACTGCTGCACACGTCTTGTGGGTGCGGAAGCTTCCAGCTCCGAAAACTGATGGCTGCGGAGCTATGTCTTCACGCGTGGATGTGATAGTGGGAAGCTTCACACTACAGCCTTCTGACTACAAACTGTTGACACAGTTCTGATGGTCAAATCAGAAATTGATTCATACATGTTGCATGCCAAAATGATCCAAAATGTATGGGCTAAGCGGCTACACTTTGTCACAGGCAGGCCGTGATTGTGTCCGCAAACAAACCTCTATCATCTGAATCTTTGCACACCGCCGTTCTGCATTCTGCAATATCTTCTGGCAGTTGTGTGGTCTATCCATTGCGTCGGGTCTTTGGATGACGTAATTTGCAGGCGAGCCTTTTTTCTGAGCTTCATTTCTCTCCAAGGCAGCCTGTTTCCACTAAGTTGCAAGTCACTATGCTATGCACATCATTCATGTTTCATGAACTGCACATGTCCTTCCAGTCATCAAATGCTTGCAGTTCTTTGCTTCCCTTCTCCTCTGACTCTGTGAAAGCGCACAATAGGGAGACCATCGCCGTAAACAACAGAACCAGGGCTGCCTTGGCGGGACCATCTGGTGTGATTCATACTGGCACCCTATATATATATATAACATAATATAATGTAATATAACATATATATATATAACATATATATATATAACATATATATATATATTATATACATAATATATATATATATATTATAGAAGTATTTCTAGAATGGATGGTACAATTTTTCGTATCATCCTACTCCAATCAACTACCACCGTGATCGTGGAGATTCTGGCCATTGCTCAGTTGAAAAATTGGCTCAGAATCATACGCTGGGAAGACATGTACCATTCACGTTCAAAATTCAAGTGAATATTCAACATATGTATATATATATATATCTATATATACACAGACAATCACAGACACATACGTATATAATATATTTATCAAGTTTCAATTCAAAAATGGTGATGTGAAACTGTATGCAAGATGACTACTACACGAACAACCACTTAAACTTGTGCAGTCAAAAGAATTTCAACAAGACCACACACACAAAGCAATTTAGAGTAAACACATTTTATGCCACTTGTAGGATCATGATCATATCCAACATGCCTTTTTGCGGCAGTGACCGTTCCAAGTGTAACTGGATCAAACTGCTTCGATGATGGTCAATTTGAATCCTGGTGCTGACTTGGCTTGTCACATTTTGGACCCAAAAAGGTGCAGTTCCAGTTGTAAGTGGATACAGAAACAAAGTCATAGAGGTCGTATCCCAATTCTTGGGGACCATAACCCATAACTATTGCTATCCTCATTTACAACATTTCAATACATTTTATACATACACCCCAAACCATCCCTGAAAATAGTCGTGGGGGTTGCAAAAGTGTAATCTGAAATGAGGGCCGGAAGCTGCGGTAAGCCCCCTACCCTTGCCCAACAGATGTGTGGAAAAGGGGTAGCCTATGATCCTAGCCTCCTGCCCGCTCTTTGGTCAAGCTGCGAAAAGCATCTTCAATTTCGAATCCTCATTTTGCTCGCTGGAAGCTGCATCCATTTCCACCGGCTGAACCATCTCGCAAGTGTCCATCGTCTTGTCATGCGTGACCTGTCGCAATCGTTGACTCATCATGGTCACCCATCTCCAAAGTATGCTTTTTAAGTGGGATCACCTAAAAATGAAAAGTCAACCACATGTCAAACAGCCAACTCAACCCATCATATGCTTGGTCTTCTTCCCACGTTGGTTGAACCACTAAATCCCATTGAATGTCAGTATTTTTCCGAAAACTCATCACAACACGTCTTTTATTTGGATAATGTGGGTAAAACAATAATCAACCACCCATTTGGGAATGGTTTATACCCCCTATTTATTGTGATTTGGGGGATGGTCTATGATTGTCTTACCAATCAATTTGGGTCACCCAGTCTTCCAAGTCTGTCCCTTGCCAGTCCCCAGTCCCCATCAGCCGTCGTGCCTGTGTCTTTGGAGTTCGTGGATACCAATGGGAATATCTTTCAGTGTCCAATGAATAGCAGCCTTTGCCCATAGGCCTGGCCGTTCAGACATTCTGTGAAATCTGCTAGATTTGAACCAGTAGGTTTATGTAGGTTTAGTAGTAATAATATGTCATAATATAATATATACATTATATATGTTATTCATAATGGCAACAATATATATATATATAGCAATATGTACATATATATAATATATATACATTAATATGAATTTAATCTATATTATTAATAATGGCAAAAAACAACATGCAATAATTTGCAGTCTTCACCCTTGCCATTTTTTGCAGCCATAAAGACTCGCAACACAAAACTCATATCTACCCTCACAATTACTAGTTCAGAATATGACTAGGTTCTTCGAACAAAAACAACCATGTAGCCTTTTATGGGAAATGGCTTCCAATTCTCCCGCGTAACCCCAATTTCAAAGTTGTGTTCCAGATTTGCTGTTCCAATCCACCCGGCTTCGACATTGATGAAAGGGGGCGCGGGGGAGTTTGAGCCTATCTTGTGATATTGATATTGTGTCGGACGGTTGTTTTTTAATATTAGAACCAAGTGCCAATAGTGTGCAGGCGAATATTTAGATATTTTTGGCGTCGTAGTATTGTTGCTATTGTTCGCTATTATTGTTACACTGTGTAATACTACTCAAACATCATAAAACCCAGGGCCATACAACCTTAAAGCAATAGTAACCCATCCCGCATTTCACCATTTTAATGGCTAAAATCAACCATCACTCCATATGGGTAACCATGACAGGCCTAACAGCTTCGCCCAGAGCCATGACCAAGGCGAACTGGTCGATGGCGTGTAGACCGTTGGAGGCCAAACAACTGGCACTGCAGGGAGGAATGGTCCTGAGATGGAAAATGATGGAAAAACCCGCGAAGATATGGACAAAATGCTAGGAAGAATGCGGACAAATCTGGGAAAACAATGGAAAACACCTAGGAAAACTGTGGGAAAAGAAGGATAAACCGGTGGAAGGATGGAACATGATGGAATTTTCAAGGTTCATCAAGCGAATAACCTTTGAATGATGGACAATGATGTAGATTGAAGGGCGAACACATGGGAGATACCCCCAAATTCCCTGATTTAAATTGGAATCATCTGGAACAATCATGATAAACCAGTGGAACGGATGGGCAAAGGATGAACACACTTATTTGAAGCTGTATCGAATGTTCAATTTGGCGTAGCCCTCTGGTTTCATTAAGCAATCAGTCAGTGCGTCCTCATGTAGCCTGATCTACCATGGACTCTGCTCCATGACTCACGTGTCAATACAGGCATCTTTCTTACTCCTAAGAAAAAGACATGATGAAACTGGCGAGAGTTTCATTTCCCTACTGGACCATAGCGATTTACAAACACAACATCTATTTATGTATAGAACGTATATATATATATGGAGCATATAATATATATATATTATCAGCACATCCACCTCACCATTGTATCAGCATTCCGGTCCTTTCGAGGACCCGTGGCTGGTTCATGTACCAGGTCATCTTCTCCTTGGTTTTTTTCAGGGAAAACAACATTGACACCGAAGCATAGAAGGTGTTTGGATCCGTTTGGGATAAAAATCGCCCAGATCACACGTCCATAGGATTATATTGACGTTTCGTAGACGTGTCAACTTGAAATTGCTTGTGGATTCACAATTTCTACAATGAGATTGATCATGAGTCAATAAACACTTCTCATGCCACAATTCACCTTCAAAATCCCGAACATACAAGTTCTCTCCTGAGCCTATGCGAGGGAACCCCCCCCGAAATATAGAGCAGAATCCAGAGAATTCAGACTCCTGCTTGGTGATTCAGCCTGCCACTGAGCATATTCAAATTCGCACAATTTCAGGGCAAAAATCCCACTATGTACATCTGTCTACTGTGGCAGGATAAAAACATCTTCCCATCTCTTCGGGAGGCGGGAAGTTCTAAACTACTGGAGATCATGTTGCCAAGTACCCTCTTATCCAACAAGCAAGTCATTTTCCAACGCCCAAGGTGTGCGATTTCAACATATTTCAACGCCAGCATTTTGGCGGTGATGTCATGTGATGTCCCCGTCCAAGGATCTTGAAGCTTCTTCACAGTGAGTTCCAAACCAGGACTCAAATACACGAAGTCTCCCAGAAGCCCAGGGCACTGCGGCCCTGTGGTGTTCATACGATACTTCCTGAGTACCACAGCAGCTGGTGACGTGGAAACCATACATTTTCAGATCAGTCCCAGCCTTGTTTGAACTTTCCTGGGGTAGAACCTATTAAGGAACTTCGGAACCTATTCGGACAGTTGTCTTTCTTGGCACTTCCATGACTTCCGTGGGATTTGAGGGAACTTACCTGGGGCATTTTGCAAGAGTTGTTTGGGTACTTTGGAATTCTATGGAATTCTAGGGCAGCTCCCATCCGATTTTTCAGTATCCTGCGCCAAGATTCACCTTGCTCACAGGCTGACCATCAGCAGTTTGACCCTGCCAGAACCGGTCCACCATATAGACTGCCTGAATTGCCATAAGATGGCCCAATCAACTCATGTGCAGCTCTGAAATTGGTGGCAAATGCCCAAACATTCTTGCTCAACACTGCATCTCAGATGGTTGGCTCGATCTGACGTGTACCGTGCCATTCCCAGCCTGTTTTTCATGCAGTTGTGAGGCTGCTTCGATGAATTCTAAGGGTCGCTGCAAAAACTTCACATCCTCAGCACGTGTGCAGACTAGCCGGGCCGGTGATCCCTTGGAATTTGTCGTGAAGCAGTGTGTAAGCACCTAAATCCTGCGAGATCCGAAAGTTCACAGTAATGTTTGTCATGATTTGTACAAATCACAAAAATAAAGATCAATAAACCAATATAAACCACCCAGCATTGACCCACTCCCCGGGACTAGTCCCAGGCACGGTGCCCAGCAGCAGCCGACCCTTGTGCGGATCCAGGTGGTCACAATCGGCCAGGGTGCGACGGACGGAGGCCAAGTTGCGGTCATCGAATTCGCTCTTGTTGAAGGGGGCCATTCCTGAATTTCCCAAGAACTTCTCAGTTGAACTTCCCAGCAATCTGGGGATTTCATGGGAAAATTATGGGGATTTAATATGATTTAATATCATAACGTCCAAACATGTGGTTATTTTTTAAAATTTATTCCATCAAACATCGAGAAGAATGTGGATTTAGGAAATCATGGATTCTAATGGGACAAATAACGAACAATACGAACAACATGATAGTTCATGGAACAATTTGCAGGAGCACACCATATATCCAGGGAAAACACTCACGGTTTTCCTGGCCAAGCCATGGCTAAAAAGGTCAATCTTCAGTGGACGTGGTGGATAAGCGACACAACTGGGTCTTTTTTTGAGTGATACTGAAAGTGAGAATCTTATGCCTGAAAGTTTGCCTCATTCATGTTGACAGATGTTGACAGGTGATCCACATCACTTAAGAAACCACCTTGTACTCCGCCCACGATGTGCTAGCTGAGCCTGGTCATGGCTACCATGGCCATCCCAGCATCGACAAGATGGCTTGTCTCTGCTGGCAAATCCTGAGATTAGATCATTTTGAGGTGTATATATAATATTATATACATATATTATATAATATATTATATAATATATTATATTATATATTATATTATAATATAAATATATATATATACAATAATATATTCCGCATTTCCACCTAGCATGGTCTATCGCATGATGTTGCATGTCAAATCTGTTATCACAAAAAGAGCAACAAACTAGGAGCCCATGATCAAGCAAAACATACTGTCTAATTAAGGGTGCACTTTCTTGAATTTCTTAAACCAAAGCCGATAAAATCAGCACTACCAAAGGTTCGCATCATGTCTTTTGGATCCATATCCAAGTTCACCAGGTGATAGCGATGCGATGGGAAACCGTGAAAGACCTCCGTCGCATAGTTGTGAGTGTGATTGTCCTTAGCTGCTCATTTACTCATGATTCACACATTGCGAAATTGCATGAAATTGCGGTGCATTGTGTCGGCCATTCCGAGGTAAGCTTCTGTGTAGACCACATATTCAGGGGCATAGCCAAAGAGCTGATTTCCTGCCGCAGTAGGGAGTGAAAAATCCTAAACTGAGCCCGACTCGGCATCTGTGCCAAGCCCGGCCTATGAGAGCGGAGGCTAAGTTCTTCTCCGACCAGCAAAGGGAGTTCTTCAAGAAGGGCAGCTGAGTACCTTAATTGTTAGCTGGAAAAGCCAAGCATATCTGAAACCACTAATCAGGGTGGCAAACTAATGAAACGAAATTCGCAAGAACAGGTTTATATGACATTGAAGTAGTCGTGAACGCTGGAACAAGTGCGCTGAATCCTGACACATCTTGATACTAATCAAGTCAAAACGTGTGGGTGTTCCTCAAAATGGGGGATCCCCAAAACCATGAATTTAATAGCAACATGGTCTTATTTTGGATGCTACTCTCATTTTAGGAAACCTCCAAACACTGCACTTCAAAATCTTCAAAATCTTGGCACCGAAAAGGCCGTCCGTGTCATTCGTTGGCTGCAGAAGGCTAAAGCGCACTTGAATGGATCCTCAGGCGTGTGGCTGGACCAAGTGGTCGCTGTGAACCCAGAGAAACTATGGTGGATGGTGATGAAACGACATATTCACTATTAAAAATAAGCACATCACTTCCATACTTCCCCCAATATGAACATATTCACTAACCCAATCATTAGATTATAAGATATTACTGCCAATTCTTGGACTATTTCCTAACCAACCAAATAGATCCAAATAGATGTTAAGCGTAGGCCAAAAGCCAGAAGAAATGGTAGTTGAACGCAACCGAAAAACATTTGGCCATTCGGCCTTGATCTGAATTCATGTGGATGTAACCTGTTTGAACCACTGTTTTCGTCCTTCCAAAAATGCCAATGTCCTGCCCCAATCAAAAAACTTTGCGAAGTTCACTCCCCAGCATCGAAGATCTGGCAGAAATTGTGCGATTTCAGATCTCACCAAACTCCGGGCTTCATAACTGGATTTCACCGCCACCTGTGCGAAGTGTTTCTGTCGACTGTAGGCTGTTGCAGTGATGAAGAACGCGGCGAAGGTAGCGCTCCACATCAGCCTCAGTGCCGCGTCGAGGTACGGAGGTACGGATGCCGCCTAGGTGTATGTCTATTGGCAGACACTATCATAGATATCATACCTGGAATATCCTGGAGTGGCATTATTATATGGATTCATATTACATTCATTACATATCATTACATATTCTGATCATTATCATCTAAGAATCTGATATAGAATGTATGACTTGTCTGAAAATAGGCTGTGCCCAATTCCAATGGACTACCATGGACTACCATCCTTTCTCCATGAAAGTGGCCATTTGGGGGTATATGCAGTATATTCCATTTTAAGAAATACATACCACCATCAAAAACGACTCACAATCCATCCTTCAACAAAGCGCAAGCTTCTGATGGAGCGCCACACTGCCGCGGCTGGGCCTAGTTAAAGCTGATCGCAGCTGCGGTCTGAACAAGGCCTCCACTGCTGATGTCATCTGACGGTGGACGGGAACATGGTGACCAAATGGATAGGCAAAACCAAATTCCCACATGAGTTTTGACCCCTGCAAATCAATGGATCGGTTTACGTAGGGAAACATCTACGGGAACCATGGTTTTAACCTCCAAATGTAGGGGTTTACTGTAAACAAATCCAGATAATCCAGCATCCAATACTCGGAGTAAATGTTCCCAGTTTCGTCTCTTTTTCCCCAAGGCGTTGCACCCAGTTCCTGCGCCGTGTTTCACGGTGCAGGAACCGTCTGGGTGGACGAAACGGATGGTGTCGCCGCTTCAAGCGGCACTGATGGAGATACACCCTGCGGCAGAGGGCCAAGGGGCACCTGTGACTACAAGAAAGCCTGTGACTTCAAGCTATGTAGATCATATATATATATATATACATATAAATATGTTTTTCTTAGCCAGAATATAGTATATATTACATGACACCTATTATTATGTATATACATATATAACTACTGTACACAGATATATGACCATGATATCATACCAGAAAAATATGGTACACATATGCGATTGTCTAAGAAAATTAACAACATACATGTGATAGATGTGAGAGTTTTGCTTACTTACAATCATCAACTTCTGTTATCAATGCCATACTATCATGACATTATGAGCTATGCCTGGACATAGCAAACCTGCTGCCACTATCATAGCAGTGGTGATGTTGTGCTCCCACTGTTCAGATCCATGGCATTATCAAGGACATATTGTTCGTGGGTCTGCCATTCCGATAAGCTTACCTAAGGTACATTCTCTTACCCTCCAGTAGATTAGAGTACCATAGAAATGAACAAACCACCATTTAAGTAGAACAATAGCAATTTCCCTAGGAAAACCAACTCATTTCCATGTATCTATGAACATTTACTGGGGGTACACCCCATATTACTGGGTTACCCCCGTTGCGGAATGGACGCAGCCACATTCCCATGAGGCAACTCTTTGGTGGCAACTCAACCATTGAGACCAAAAAGATATGAAACCACCAACATCACCAACCAGATCTATCGGTGAACATATCGGTTTATCTTCTTCTTGCTGGTCATATTCCCGTTACTGTCAGCTTGAAAAATCTTACAGTAAATTCTGATGGGCAAAGTCCCAGCTTGCGTCACTCCAGCAGGGCCACCGCTGTCGATCGACTCACTCCCGCCACTTTGTGAACCTCGGCACAATGACATGAACGTCTTTGCCAACTGCACTATTCAGGAAAGCATGTGGTGGTATGACCAACTTACGTTACACGAAATCTCCATAGATTTCCCAGCAATGGGTGGGTCAAAGCAGTCAAAAGCTCAATCACTAAGGTATGGTGAGGATTGAGATACTCCCCAAGCTCTGACAAGACGGCATAGCCATGCATAGCATGAGTGCCCACAGAATATATTCCCAAATCTCGGAAGACTTGGCATGGTCCCATTACATGAAGTCAATGGTGGATGCACCCGAGGGCCCAGACCGGTATCTGGTATCTGCAATCACTCCGAAGTCGTAACGTTTCTTTGGCCAGCCCGGGATATTTCCCAACCTCGTGTCCCACGCAGCAGCATGGCTGGACAAAGCAGGGATAGGCCAGGAAATTCTGTGGCCATGCATCAATCAACACCAGTTTCACATCGGCGGCAAGTTCCAAACTGCAATGATAATGGATTGGTTTAAGGGAAAATTTACAGGAAAGGCCCATATGTAATGGGAAAATCTATGGTTTCCTGCAGATTTTCCCTTAAACCAATCCATTGACAATGATAATTGCTGCATCAACATATACCAAATAGCTTCTTTCACATGGTAGGACGCGAGTTTACTTGTCAGCTGAGCCAACTTGACTTGTTATTGTTGAACAGGAACCACGGCATTAAAAAGCCACCAACATCACCAACTTCTTTAAGTTTGTCTGAAAATAGGGTCATTACATGTCATTACACTCTAAATCAACTGCATTTTCAATACATTTTCCATAGATTTTCCCGCCGTTTTTGGTTTTCCCCAAAAACTCTCCGACAAACCCGTCTCGACCGTCTCCGTCCCTATCAGGTGCAAGTCGCTCCGAGTAGGTGCTCACGTAATGCGGCTTCTTGACCTAGTGGAGTGTGAAAAAAAAACCAGCTGCCACATGTTTTAAGTTAGGTCCGAATTCCGTGTCTCCCTCTCTCTCTCTCTATATATATATATATATACACGGACATATAGAGACATATTGATTCATATAGATACAAAAATAGTATTATATAGTAACCACGGTAAGTAAGTACCAGTGAGTAAGTCAGTCAGCCAGTGAGTAAGTAACGCACGTTATTTTCAACATGTTCAAATACACATAAATAAACAAATATGTACACAGCATATACATATTTTGGTTTAGATGGGTCGAATATGGGCATGGTATGGCATGGCTAACAAACAAATAAGACAGGTCATGGGAACTGCAGATGTGCCAATGGATGATGCTGGAAGAGTTTGTTGGGCGGTAACTGTTGAATACACAATCCCCAGGGACCCAAACAGCGCAGCAACCGCAACTGTCTGTTGAAGGTAAAGCCGCAATCATCTTAGAGCGGAAGCCGCCCAGAAATTCTTGGAATATGCTCTTGATATCATCTGATGCTTTCCTGATTAGATTATTCCCCAGTAAAATGTTGGCTGGGGTTGCATCCTTCCTTTTTTTTTCAGGTGTTTTTGCCCGTTTCCGAGCCCATCTCTCAAGACTGGCATTTCAAGTGAACTACAAAGAATCAAAAGCTCTAAATTTAGATTGGAGCTTGAGGTAAAGGCGGTAAGAAGTTGACATTTACTATCATTTACTAATCTTCGCGGAGCCCACTGGAAAACTAGAAATTGAAAAAGATGGAACAGTAAAATCCGGTTGATTAATTTTGGTGAACTGCGTGCTTTCCTATCTTCTTTGAGGTTGCTATATGTCAGTTTCTGATGGTGCTTAGGAGAGTCTATGTTGGATCTTACTAGTTCCTGCTGGTAGTGTGGCAAACTCGATGATAAACCTCCAATTGGGAGGGTTTGGATCCCACCCTTGGGGTAAAATTTGGGCAGGGTTTATGCTTCTTGTTTTGCCACATTGCCGTACATTGCCAATGAAGTGGGTCTGGGTCTCAATAACACCCACAATATTCATTACCAACAATATCCTATGGGTTTATCACCTATTGTTATTGCTGTTGATAGCTCCTTCCTTGGTGCTCAGTAGCACCCAGAAGGAAGTTCGTGGAACCATTCCGAGCATGAAGAAACCCAGCTGAACGGACATTTCCAATTTTATCAACATCAACGGAAGATCTCCCAAATAATCACATGTCTTAATTTTACTTCGCAATCAGTGGCAAACTCCATTTCAGGCAAATATCCGTGTATACAGTCAGCTGGTTGGTTTTTCCAAGCCATCCCGAAAAGAGTATCAGTCAATTTTGATCATCATCATATCATAATATCACCAGTTCCAAAATTCAGCCTTTTCTGGTAAATTATCTGTAAATGGGCCATGTTCATCCAGATTTCCAGTTCGCAAACTGTGAGTCATTTTGAAATCTCCATCAATTTTTGATCACTCATCATTTCCATCAACAATTTCCATCGATTTCGTTAATTTTCCATAATTTTCCCCACTTTACCCTGCATTTCACCAGGAACTTTTCATGCAACGTTGCTGTTTCGCGCCTTAATTCCAAGGCAATGGTCTCCTTCCTGTGATTTCTTGGCCTGGTGGAAGCCCCATGAAATATGGAAAAATGATGGACATGTATGGAACATGCGGGAAATTTGATGGATTTTGATGGAATATGATGGACATTCATGGACATTTATTATTGAAACTTTATGAACATTGGAACATATGGGAAATTTTATGGGAACATTGATGGGAAATTTCATGGTAAATGGATTTGATGGAAATTGATGGGAAGGTATGGATCCAAGAGGTAAACTTGGTATGGAAAAGTAAGAGGCACAAATTGCTTCAGGGGATTTGAATGGATTTGAACGGATTTGACATCTTTTGGAATCTTCATGATTTGCCGAAAGGGTACAAGTTGCTGTAAGGCTCCATGACCCTTCTCTTTTCAGGCATCAACTTTCATCAAAATTTCACATTTCATTCGCGGTTGATGCTCACTGACCCACCATGAAACCTGCAAGTCGGGCTTGTCGAAAAACATGGCGTCAGGGAGGAAATGGTACTTGTCCGGTGTGCCCCACTCCTGCCGATCGTCGTATCACTGCATCGGCGTCGAAACGAGACCACAGGAAAGGTGAGTTAGATTTCCCAACGTTTCGCTCTGAACAGCAGAAGATACCATATTGTAATATGTACAGTATTTGACATCTTACAATCAACTTTTGTTGCCTGCAGTCACATCAGTTCCACATGTGCACCGGCCGCTCCGGCACAGAGAACCCCTGGTATTGGCCCAGGTCTGACATGGTGGACTTGTAGGAGCCTTCCTCCAGCGTCGCCATGGGGCAGTGACATTTTGGAAATTGGGCTTTTTGATCTTGATTGTAAAGTAAAGAAACAAGGAACAACGTACCCATTCTGAGAGAAACATGTCGAACACACACACACATACATATATATATACATATAACATATATATATATAATATATTACATATATATGTATATATTACATATATATGTATATATTACATATATATATATGTATATATTACATTGATGTATATATATAATATATTATACACACATATTAAATATATTACATCTATATATAATTATATATATAATTATATATATACATTACAATTATTACATATATATATATATATTTATCGTGTTGTATACATACCCAGGAATCGTGAAGATTGATGTTTTGTGATGGAGGCCTCCCAAAACGGCGACACATCAACACGAATGCAATTCAGAAGTGCATCAAAAACAACTAGACTCGCATCTTAGATAACATATAAAGGCATCCAAAAAACACTAATCTTTCCTTGATTTGCCTTGGCGCCGTTAGGGTTCAATGGTAGCTTTGACTATCCACTACTAACCACTACTATCACCGTCCTTCCCCTGGGACAGTCCTTCCCAACGATCCCCAAGGAGAGATCGCCCTCCTGCCGTTTGAAGTTCTTATCCGCCTGGCGGAAGAATGTTGTAGCCTCAGGTAATAGGTATATAAGAGGAATATCATGGAAATATATTGGGATATAATTAGTATATAATGATATATAATGGGATTTACCCTCTGGTAAACTAACATAGCTATTGGAAACCACCATTTTTAATAGGTGCTGTACATATTCTACAAATGGGCCATTTTCATCCATTTTCCATAGCTGTTAGATTACGAGAAGGTACAGCAAACAATTACCAAAAAAAAACATGAATGAAATTGAACCATCCGAGATTTCAATCTTTCATAAAGCAAACACAATGCGTTACAGTGAGCCTCATGAACTCGAGCAGCCCGGTTCACTTCAGCGATCTCGACGCAAACCCTTTGGGCCGGTGCTGTTGGGTGAGGGTGAATCATATCCGCGAGTACCGGTAGAGCAAGATGATTTATGTCTCTAGCACCAGCCTCTTCCCAACTCAAGGAGTAAACAATTCCGTGCGCTCATTGGAAAGAGGATGGACACCGCAAACTTCAGTTTCCAGCCTCTTGTCCAGAGGGCATTCCACCTCACAGTCACCAAACGAAAGGATGCCATCTAAATGTATCTCAATCAAGAAATAGGAACAAATTGGTGGTAATCCCAGTGATAGAGCGCAGTTGGTAAATCCAGTTGGGTATGGTTCATAAATCTTCATAATCATCGCATATCACAACCCCCAAATGATACAAACATTGGTAGTTGATTCTGGTGTATTGTTCTGTTACCACATTTATACACTATTCACATGACATATTTCGCATTTCCACTGAGTTCACCTGGTATACCAGATTGTCGCAGCTAATCTGTGATCATTCTGATCATTCTCGCTGGATTCCACCAAGTTCTAGGCCTGTCCCAAGCTGTGCGAGGTGGCGACGAAGTGAGGCGCACTCCTTGCTGGAGGGCTTTTAGTATGAAATATCATGGTGCTATGGATCTAAAAACATGATGGGTTTAAGATATTCATAGATATTCATTGCTATTCTTCTATAATGCTGGTATGCAATATAGATAGGATAGGATAGGAAAGGAAAGGAAAGGATAGGATAGATAGATAGATATAGATAGATAGATAGATATAGCTAGATAGATAGATAGATAGATAGAGATAGATAGATAGATAGACAGACAGATAGATAGATAGATAGATAGATATAGATGGATAGATAGATATAGATAGATAGATATAGATAGATAGAGATATATAGATAGACAGGCAGACAGACAGACAGACAGACAGATAGATAGATAGATAGATACACATATATATATATATATAATATAGAGATAGATAGATACATAGATATATATATATATACATATGTATATATATAGATAGACAGGCAGGCAGACAGACAGACAGACAGATAGATAGATAGATAGTTAGATAGACAGACAGACAGACAAACAAATAGAGATATATACGTATGTATATGTAGATGGTATGGATGGCTCAGATTTTAAAACGGCTTGCAATAAGGCTTACACAAGGCGTAAGAATCGTGTTCTGAGGGCGAGTACTTGGGGGCTGGAGTGGGGGTAGCAAAATGGGATAAATAAAACAGCAGCTTCATAGTTGAATATAGTTGAGATGTACCCTCTGGTGAACTAACATTTTGCCATGGAAAGATCCACCATTTTTCATGGGAAAATCCACTATTTCGACTGGGCCATTTTCAATAGCTTTTTGTATGTTCACCAGAGGGTAACCGGACATACCCCGATCATCCCATTAAATCCCATTAAGCCCATTAAATCATCAGATATCCTCCCAATTATCACCCCATATGACTCTGAAATAATGTTATTCCATACTATTATCCCATATGATTCTCCCATTATCCCACTATTATACCCTTAATTCCCATTTTTTATAAACCATAATAATTCAATTGTTATCCCAGTATTTTCCCACTATCCCATGAAATGGTATCACTATTTTCCAATGCTATTCCCATTATTCAATTCCATTTTCCCATCCCAAACCAACCATTTCTGGCGGCTATCCGCCGCTGCTGCAGCTGCGGCACCCTCGGATGCCACGCGTATGGTCGCCCGGCCCGGCGGTCTCATCTGCGGCACCTGGGTTCATCGGAAAACAACGATCAACCTATGGATAAGCTATGCATAAAGGATGGGTAAAGGATGGATAATCTATGAATAATGGGATAATCATCGATCAAACATAGTGGGATACGAGAATCTAAAAATGAGGAATAACGAATGACTAAACTATGAATATATGATCGCTGCTTCACATATAAAATTGTTTATCTATGGTTTCCTGCATGGGTCAAGTCATCTATGGATAAACTATGAATAAATAATGCATAATGATATTCAATGATACATTATGTAAATAAACCATGATGGGTGATGGTAAATAATGAATACTAGTGACAAATAAGAATATGTCATGATAAATAAGTAGACATCTTGCATTTCCATATGTTTTATTGCCGTTGATTCCACCCTTTTGTTTATCATAACATGTATCATATCATATCGGTTCAGATTTAATATTTGATATCTCTGACTTCTTGTCAAAAAAAAAGCTTCCCATATTACCTGGGAGATGTTTAGATACTTCACACGGATCCACATATCATGGCCAATCCTAGATACCCCGCAAAAATTCAATTCTTAGCTGGTGAACGTAGATACTCCCATTGATACCAAGAGACTAAAGGATTAGTTTTTACCCACCTAAGATTGACCTAGATATTCGCCCTGACAGCGAAGATCTTCAGGGATCTGAGGATCAAACACGGCCCTCGGGGTACACCAATGACCTTGTTCTCCTCTGCCCTGGTTCAGAAAGGCTTCGTCTGATAGGGGAGATCCCCATGACAAATCGAGGGAACATGATGATCGTCCACTGGAATTGGGGGTATCCTATGTTCAGACTAACTCTACAATGCTTTCTGAAGTATGACCTGGTTCTACCTGCTTCTACCTTCAGCATGTTTTCACGATGTTTCATGCACTCCTCGGAATTTGAAAGAGTTTCAACCACCCTTCAAACTATTCTTTGCAGTCTTCATGTAGCTTTCCTCCACTTGGACAAGGGAATCGATTCCGCCCGGGAACCGCGCCTCTCGAGTTGGTATTTGGGTTCTGGCCAGTCCGGGATACTGCCATACTTCCAGGAAGTTGGCTCGTAGCCGCCCTGTGGTGTCCATGAGGGATAGTCAATTTCTGAAGTCATGGGCGATTCTCCAAGTCACCATTAAAATCCATTAAATAAAATACTAACATGGTCATCCATGATTTGGATGATTTGTGGTATTTCCATGGCTTAAGAAACCTCGGTATGGCGGGCTTATGCACCTGCCTTCCCCGTGAGGCCAGCTTTAAAGGACTTCCGTCGACCCGCTGCTCTCTGGCTGGCTTCTTTCCAAGACAAGGACCTGGCGCAAGTCATGATGTCTTCATTTGGATTGGAAGAATCTGGTCTTTTATTGATTATATACATATATAATTTACCTAGAAATAATGGTGACTTTCCATAGCTGTGTTAAATTTCCGGAGGGCATGTTGATTTGATGTCGGGTTCGTTTTCATGTTTGTTCATGATCTGTTGGTTGGGTTTGATGCTCAGATCTAGGCAGAACAAGGAATCCTGAAGCAATAAGCAAATGTCGAAGAAAAACATGAATAGTCGCATACATATCTTGCAAACTTGAGAAAACACACGAACAGTTCTGGAACCAAACTGCCCTGTCAATGCTAGACAACATGGAATATGGTCCAAGCGCCAGACTGATTTGGATCCATTTCACCCATTCTGTCCACTGCAGGAAAATGGGCAATTTATGTTGGCAGTCGAAAGTTCGCCAAAATTCAGCCCCACACAGCCAGAATTCTAGAATATTCATGAATATTCATGATACGTCTAGATACCTCCCAAACTTCAAGAACTGATCTGTTCGACTTCCGACAGCATTTCCGAAGTCATGAAAATCAGCTCCGAGGCACGATTTCGGGGTTCCCGTGGACATGGCTGGCTCTGATGCTGAGGGCTTCAGCACCTCGAAAAAAACATGAAAAGTGAGGGGTTATGGCTATTATACATGGGTGGTTGCATAATGGTCAATATTTGTTATGATATCTTATGATTATATGATTTGTTATCGAATCAGAAATTTAATGATCACAGGAAATTTGGGAATGGGATTATGGTTACCATGGTTGTTCTTTTTTGGAACTTACACTTCAATAATTCCGAAAATGACATAGTTGGCCTGGCAATATAACCTCAACATGAGCATCGGGAATTACGGTATTGAAACTACCACACAGAATCAGTCAAATCTGAAAAAATCGGCACAACATGCACTTGTCCAACTTATCCATGGGATTCCATGGGCAAATTTCCAACAGAATGGATCGATATCTATGGCTCTAGGACGCTTCTCTGCTGGGTGCCCCGGTCATTGGAGCTGCCCGAGCGCCGCAGCCATTTCTCCGCCTTGCGCACGGCGGTGAGGCGTTTACAACGCTCGGTTGTAGGGTACGAACTGATGGGAGATCCACATTATATGCATTTATATGCGTATATAACTGTATGTATATATATATATAATCTAGGTGGAGATTTCAACGGTCCCGAAAAATATTAAGGATTTCCAAGGATTTCCACTGAAAAACGCTTTTTTGTCTTGCGCTGCACATAGTGCTGCTTGCCCGCGCATAGCTGTTTCTTTGCGATGCCTGTGCAGGTGGCAAAATGATAAAACGAGTGCTTCGCAATAAGGTCAGCGATTGCTTCTTGAAATATTATTTGCGATTCAATGTCTGCGGCTGCGGTCTGTTTTTTCCCTGCCTTTCAAAGTCTGCGTTTGCTCTTCCCAATGGACAGCTACTATCCCTAGCTGGTTTGTCTGCAGGAAATCTGCTGCTTTTATGTCCAGCAGCAACCCCAATCAAATACAAGCCGCCTGAAATTTCAAGGCTTGTAGCACCAAAATGAAAATTACATATGGCTATGGACCTATGGACTGGAGGCTAGTTTACGTCCAAGTCCTTGATTTTGCGTCTGGCGCGCATGCAGACAGGACTAAGGCTTTCAAGCTGCTGCAAGTCTGCAAATGCATTGCCCAGCGCAAAATGATACTTGAAGAGTATTGGGATCGAGGCCCGTTTCGGGCAACAAGCTCAGGATAGCCTTTACACCACTCTGCAAGAATGTTCTTTGGGGAACGGCGATGATCCAGGGTTTTCATCAACGCCTTGCCAGAAAATGCCTCAAAGACTACGCAGCCATAGCTCCACATATCGATAGCAGGCGTCAGCAAAGCCTGAAGTGACGCTGCTTGCCCTTTTGCATCCCAAAGTTCCGGAGCTCTATGCCAAGTGGTGACATACTCCATGAAACGAGGCGGAGGCAGTGTGCGGGCTGTGGACTGTAGGCTATGGTCTGTGGACTGTGGACTGCCGGCACACGGGTTCGGCTCCGCCATGCCAAAATCGGCCGGCTGACTTTGTTGGCCTCGCTCAGCTGCCATGGCGGCCAACGAGATGGTCTGCGTCATTCCCACAGCCAATGGACGATGAACTGCAGACTCGCAGCACGCAGTCGATGGACTACGGACTCTGGACTGCTGACTCGAACCAACATGAAGCAGGCGACATCAGCATGGGGAGCCATCAAAGAAATGGAAGCTTTGAAGTTCCTTTGTTGTTGTCCAAAACAACACGTCCGAAATAAAGCCCTCATACATCAACCGTCTGGCTCCACTGCTGAGGATCCACACTGCCAAGTCGAAGCGCAGGAGACTTGGAAGAAGGCTTTGCAGCGCAGCAAGGCGAGCCTCAAACGCGCGACACTGTGGACTTTGGACTTTGGACTATAGACCGCATCCCTTCATCAATAAGAATCATACTGCAAATACTTGAATGATTGACTGAATGTTGTCAATGCATCCCATCCCATTGAGGTGTTGACCAAGGGTCCAAACCCAGAACTCGGCAAAGATGATGAAAACACGGTGACAAATGGCTGCAGTTCTTGCGGACGGGGCAGCGCACAGGAAAAAAATAAAAAATGTGCGAAATGGCAACCTAATAATCTACATCGGATAACCCAGTAATTATTGTGGCTCGGAAAGTATAAACCCGAAATTGCCGCTAGTACTATGTTGAGAAAGCGCTAAGAATTTGAGGGGCCCTCACCTTGTGCACCCCCAAGGCCATGATAATTGAAATTGAGAATTTGAGGGACCCTGGACTGGGAAATTTCGGATTCTTTTCCACCGCTCAGGCTGTATCTATATAACCGAAAATACCGAAGGAAGTTTAGAAGTCAAACTTCCGACAATATGGATAATATGGGCAGATGAAAAAGCAGAGGTGGGAAGAGTCAGAGAAGAGAAGAGAAGAAGAAAGAAGATCAGAGAAGAGAAAGAGTCAGAAGACATAAGATGTAGGTGCGCGGAAAGGTAGCAAAGTCGCGAAACGCTGTGGTTTTCCGGTGATTTGTGGCTCCGGAGGGTCGAAAAGTAGGCTCGCTAAAGCGGCAGGTAAGGAGCCATCTGGGGAGATGAGAGATGAAAAAGTGCACGCCGTTGTGGCGCGAATCACATTTCGAAGTCAACAGGTGCAAAGCACAACAGGTTCGGAGCACTTTTCGAAGTTGAGACGTTGACAAAGTGCACGCCGTTGTGGCGCGAAGCACGTTTCGAAGTCAACATGTACAAAGCATATCAAAACACCTCAGTTTTGGACCACTTTTGGAAGTTGAGATGTCGAAAAAGTGGACACCGCTGTGGCGCGAAGCACATTTCGAAGTCAACATGTAGAAAGCACACCATTCCCGGACCACTTTTCGAAGTTGAGATGTCGAAAAAGTGTACGCCATTGTGGCGCGAAGCACATTTCCAAGTCAAAATGTTAAAAATATCACATGTTCTGACCACTTTTGGGCGTTAAGGTGTCGTTTTGCGTGGCAGGCGCAAGGGTTGCTGCACCTTGCCAAAAGTGCACCCAAGTGATTGACCGCTGCTGGCGTTTCCTGAAGGATCGTCTCAGCCTTAATCAAAAGACAAAGGCCAGGTCGAACTTGCTGAGAGCCAAACTCCGATCTGCTCAGTACCAGTATTGGTACAAAAATGCGGACATGTGGGTGGCGACCGGATCTCTGTGCCAATGGGCCTCAAAGCGCTTTATGGGCAAGAAGTGAACCGCAGAGCTATGGGGGAAAATGTACTGCAATGTATTGCTTCGCATCTTCATTGTTCACAGTCGTGCCGAAAGCTTCTTTTTGATCCAATTCATGCCAGGTCTTCTTCATGGATTATGTCTCGATTGGTGTCTCGTTGTTCCTCGGCCCAAGTGAGTCAGCAAGGCCCTACACATGCGCTATGGTAATGCTACACATGGGCTCATGCATGCAAAGCAATGTATTGTTTGTCCTTTCCCACCCACCCAAGTGCTCTCAATGTTCATGCACCTATGTGGTCAGTTTCTTCACATGTGCTATGCTGCAGCTACATATGCGAACAAAATGTGTCCAGGCGCATGCAGGGCGCATGCGCCCAAGATACTTTCCTGATGCAGTGCTACAATAGGTGAGAAGATAAGAAGGAAGACAAGGCATTCAAGGACATATCTAATACACAAAATGTAGGTCTTGGGGGGGGTAGCATATATATGTATATACATACACTGATTTTTCCAGCTATAAACCACCGTGGCGAGTTCGGGGATTTCCACGCAATCCCATGTTTGATTCCCAAAGGGTAGGACGGGTAAGATTTTCCCTTCAACCAATCCATTAAATCCTCAATATTGGTTGGTTTCCCCATGATAATCAACATACAAACCCACTCACATTCCATTAAATCACCATTGTTGTTAGTTAAATCCCACTAAATTTCCATTAAGTCACCATTGTCACTGGTCAAATATGCTTTTTCATCACATTCATATTCCATCATACTTCCATGAAATCACCATTGTCGCTGGTTAGATTCCCATATTTTTCTTGGCGAAAATCCCAAGCAGACCTCCACCGTTCACCCCCGGGCACCTGGGAGCTCTTGGTTCCCTCCATTCGTTGCCGTGCTGCATGGATCTCTACAGGCGGGCCACGAGGCCTCAAGCTGGGTCCCGGGGCGCGTTGCGATAGATGGATGGGTCAAACGACAAATTCTTATTATGACATGTATAGTATATGTGTATATATATATGTATGTATGTATGTATGTATGTATGTATGTATGTATATGTATATATATATGTATATAAATATATATATATATATATATATATGTATATAAATATATATACATGTATAAATAATATAGGAATGTATCTATATCTATCGATCTATGACTCTGGAGGGTCGATCATTTGAACCATACTCAGAATCTTAGAAGATTTACTTTCTGGCAATGAGGCGATGGAACATGGGAGGTAGTCTCTTTTTGTGTCCCAAACTGCTTGCGTTCAATCATTTTCTTTCCATTCTGGAGCCCAGTAGGCTCTAGAAAAGTGGACATGCCTGAAAATTTTAGACCTAACGGGTCAACAAATTTTCGGCAATCTTGGTCTTGACCAATACCACACATCCCGTTTTCCGTGTGTCCAATTTGGGTCTGAACATCATCATTTTCCCCATTACAATGGCACTTGTTGAATGTTCTTCAGCAACACCAGCCACATTTTCGCCAAATATCAACCAGCAATTAACCAATCTCAGCCACATATTCACCTGAAATATCACCCCAATATCAAGCCAGCCAAATATCAACCACACATCCAAATATATAATATAATAACCGCATATGGAGGTTTCCTGAAATGGCGGTACTCCTGGATCATCCATTTTAGTAAGATGTTCCATTATAAACCATCCAGCTATTGGGGTACCCCCGTTTAAGGAAACCTTCACATATTGATCCCTTGGCACTATCCCAGGGTCCCTTGGCTGCCCTGCTGCATGGGTGGCTTCTCTGGTCGCTGCCCCAAGACGTTGGGTGGAGGCGTGCGACGTCCGTGGCGGTACTCGAAGTCGCCCATGAAGAACCTGTGAGGTTTTTAAGGGACCAAGGGATCTCAATTAAATAGGATTATCATTGGGAATCCATTGGGATCTTTGTAGATTAAGAGGATCTACTGGATTAGTTTTCACGGGATCAATGGGATTCATAAGATTGATTAAAGGGAATATCATGGAATTAACCTGTTGGATCCTGTCAGACTTGGGAGTTTTGTAGATTTGAATGGCATTTGGTTGGAGTAATTACTGGGAGTAATTGGATTGTGGGATTTTTTCATGGATGATTTGAGCGCCATTGGATGGATTTTTCTGAGATTTTCATGGGATTTGTGGATATGAATGGGTGGTGGTGAATATATTCATGTCGTTATCTGGTTGGTGGTATCAATCCCTCTGAAAAATATTAGTCAGTTGGGATGATTATTCCCAATATATGGGAAATATGGGAAACTAAAAAATGTTCCAAACCACCAATCAGATATGTTCATTATTTGAATTCATTGGGATCTTTATACATTGATGTAATGCAGCTGTCAGATCCCGTCAGACTTCGATTCCGAATGACTTTCATATATATCCCCAGCAGCTTCAAAGACCTTCTGAGCGATCGATTTGGGGGTTGCTTTTGGGGGTCCAAACATCTGTATATGAGCGACATTTAATTGTTGTATAACTGGGCAAATTGTAATATTTCGCTAACCTGAATTAAGACCATTTGGGGATGATTTGCCTTACTAACCATGATTTCCAGTGAGGTCGCAGTGAGGTCGTTATAATTTACCCAGATATAATACTATATAATGATATTTTTACACATGAATGGTACTCCTTTTGAATAAAAAGATGTGGTTCATTGGATTAGTGGGGGGGATGATGATGATTGGGATTCATTGGATGCTGGGCTGGGGTCAATTTCCATTGGGATGATACTGGAACAAGATCAATGATATGAAATTGGCAAATTATGGATGATTTAACTGGTTTATCTGACTTATATACTGTACATGGTTTCACGGACTTAATTCAGCAAATTTGCGGATTTTACCAGTAACCCTCCGTCCACTCCACTTGGGTTTCAATGTTGGTAAACATTGGTTCATACTTAATAGCAATCTTGCTATTTGATAACCACCTGAGACTGTTGAATATCAGGGGTGGGATTGGTGTATTCCAAACTGCTATTCAGATATAGTACGAGTGGTTTTCATGTTGGGGAATCTTGCTTCCAACAAGTGTTGTCCAGAAATGGGGGGTGCCAGTGGTGATGATCATCTTCAAGGGGATCCGGAGCATGTAGCATCGTTGGTTTGTAGATGATGTCCTGCGAACTGAGTTGCATGTTGAGGTTCCCTCCAGTAAATTCATATCGAAATGGAACACCCACTATTTGTAGTTCATTTTCCTTGGGAAACCATGGGTGTTCCATATCTATGTTAGCATACTGGAGGGTTTTTGGGTTTGGGGGTCTCTATGTTAGCCACCCATCGGGCAGGACATCCAAAAATCCAACAGGCGGTTGGATCCAATGGATCCAAAATACCCTGGGTATCCCATGGAAAAATGGGATAAACTAACATGGGATAAACTAACATAGCTATCCCATTTTACATCATTTTACAACATATTTTTTTTCCCACTCTGAGATCCCCAAACCAATCTCGACCAGTGCCATTGGATTGGTAGGTGCCTGGCGATGAGCTCATGCTCGTGACATCAGACCAATCGACCCACACATGGCTGGTGATTCTCAGCATCAAACTATTCAATTTGGGAGATCAAAGTTTGAGTCACACAAGTAGCCATTGGAAGAATATAGTCTTGAGAAACCTCGAAAACAAACATATACTCCCAGCACAGCATCTATGATGGTAGTCTGGCCCATGAGCAAAACCAGACCAGACTTTTTGGAGATCAAACAACACCAAGCAGCGACGCTTTCGGCTAATATCTTCACGACTAGTCCGCTTGTCGGACAATCTGGTCATCTGCTAACTCTCATCTTTGGAGAGCGTGTCTTGGCTTTCCGTCCAACAGAACCCTAAAAATAGACACATATAAACACACACACATATATATATATATATATAACCATAAGAACATTTAACATACACACACACACAGTCATTACAAATGTTATCAAAGCGTTACACACGTTTGGGTCAAGCCACTGAAATCACTTTTTCGGTCATCTCTTGCATGCCAGGGCTGCCAATGAAGGTGCCTCACTTCAGACCACATCTCTGAGGACTCACGGAGGGATCTGTGGGGATTTTGGAGCCTTCCCCAACTTTCAAACATGTGAATCTCGTCAAAACAGCTATTTATCCATTTCTACTACATGTATGAATGGTACTGGCCCCATCTGTTTATTTCACATAGCTAGGGACAGGCCTTGAACATCGGCATTTTGCATAGGTAAATCATCGAACCTACAGGGGCCATGGCTTCCATGGCGGTTTGTGAGGCCGACTGCTTCAGCTTGGATGCGTTGAACTTCGCTCGTGGGTCAACGTTTTCTGCCCCCCAAAAAATGGATGGTCCCCTACTAAAATCTGGGTCAATCCTAGATACCATACAAATCACCATGTAGCTGGCTAGTATCCCCATAGCAAAGAGGAAACCAACAAAAACCATCCGGGGTTGACCCAAATATCAGGTATATCATGGTATAGTTGATAATTTTGGGTGGTTGATTGGCTTAATCATCAATTTGACCATCGGTCCCTCTGGTAATCATAGCAATGGAAAATCCACGATTTACAGATACTTTTCCCAGCTATAAACCTCCATTTACATGGGATTTCCCAGCCACGTTTGAGTACCGCAGGGTTTATCCCATAATCATCCCATTCATATTGCATGAGCTATCGATATATGTTTGTTGATCAAAATTCCTTTATCCGGGAACGGCCATTCTTCGCGAGTAAACATGTTACTTTTGCGAAACTTTCGCGAACTCCATGTTTCTCTTTCGCGGAACCTATGTTAGGCAATCATGATATCCAACATTCGCGAAACTTTTGCGCAAAAAATATTACTTTCGTGAACTCGAAAAAAACTTTTGCGAGGGTTTCCAACATAACATGCACGGCTTTCGCAATTAAAACTCCTTACAAGGACCTTTAGATCGCTTACTATATCATGATATATCTGCTATAAACATCTATAACCACTAGTTCACCATGGTTTTCGCTTTACCCCAGAAACCAAAACATCAGAAAATCCACCGCTCCCTGCACAGTGTCTCGGTGCCACTGCCAGGACATCCATCCTGCATCGTCTCCGTTGAATCCGCGTTAGCAAGGTGAGAGCAGCACGCAGCTGCTGGAGATGCTCAGGTGTGGTGGTTTTCAGGAGGAACAAGCCACTTTCAGCCTCAGCCGAGGTTGCGGGGGCTCAAATAAGAGGGAACTCATCCATTTTTATGGGGATATTCATGCTGACATACTGTCATATTATGTGGTTGGTGGTTTCAACCCCTCTGAAAAATATGAAAGCCAGTTGGGGTTACTATTTCCAATATATGGAAAGTCATAAAAATCATGTTCCAAACCACCAGCCAGTTATGTCATATTGGTATTTTGTTTGAACTCTGAAAGTGGTTTTGTCTGAAAATGATGGGCCAGCCGGAAAGCCGCTAAAGGCCGTGACCATGGTTCTGCATCATTTTTCCTGTGAACATGACCATGATTTGGGGGCACAGACCAGTCTCTAAAACACCCAGAAACTGGCTATTCCATCTATGTCTGTTGGGGATTATTGGTTTCTTTCTTGCGTCTATCATATTCTATCATCGAACTTTTAATTTAAGGATTCGTCAAGCAGCAGTTAACTGTTTATGTCCTCAGGAAGGCCAATTCTTCAGGTTTGGGTATTGGAAATACTGCCAATAGTGTTAGCATGTATTAGCAGTGGCAATCATATGAAATTAAACATGATATGCATAATCTTAGAAAAGAGTAGTGAAAATTTGATGAAAGCAGTTTGGAGCCTGCTAGGCTGTTGAACACCGAGTCCTCATCCTCAAGAGGAATTGACCAATTACTGAGGGGCTGTTGAGTTTTGTGGATTTACCACCTACTAGTAGTGTGCTGCAACATGGTGTAACAATCCTGTTCAAGGATGGATGATAAATGATATAAATGAAAATCCCTAGAAGCTACTAGAAGCCCTTTTTGTTCGTGAAGGCTATACAGTGTAAATGGATGCCTTTCAGTCCAGTTGGTCGCTACTCACCTGATAGTCCGACAGATGAAGTTGCCCTCCAGTAAATTGACATGACGACACCCTTCATCGGGGTTGGGAGATTAGTTTCCACTAAACGGGTGATTTTCAGGGTCGAACCGTTAAATGTACCGATCCCGAGGGTCGAAGTGCTTGTCAAGTTGTACTGATCACCGACAATGCGAACATCTTCAAAAAACCCCAAGAGGACGAATCACCGAGTTTCTCAAGAGATGGGTGAAACTTTGCCCACATTTTTGGGCAAACCCATTGCTGCGGTTTTGACAGTACAAGATCTTGGGTGAGGTTCTATGACTTTTCTCTGATCTCTGGTTGATCCTGGAAGTAATGTGATGGATGACTTGGCAATATGGTAATACCATGTCGTATGACAAATCAAGAGGCTTCATACCAAACTACCTTGATCAGTGCAATTAATACGCGTGTATATGTATATACGATTATATACATCGATATACACATATTTGTATACTGTACACTAACGATCATAGCTATCGTCGTTCTTTTCATCATACGATCAGTAGTTGTACAGTAGACTTTCTAAATAACATTCATCGTCAATCATCATCAATTGTCTAAATCTAAACCATACCCCACCATCATTCAAGATCTTTGCTACTATAGTCATCAAGAAATATGATATTAGTAATTCTCATTATTCTCAACAACGTTGATTAACAATGTCGCAGTGATGAATATCTTGATTGATTAAACCACGCCAATCATCATAAACAGTGTTATAAAATGATAGTTCTTAATTCATGGTAATTATCAACAATGTAATTATCATTTAACAAAATGGTAGCATTGATGCAATCTTGAAGACCACCCCCAAAAAAAACATGTCCGAAATCTACACCTAGATGACTATTAATATGGAGGTTTCCTGAAATGGGGGTACCCCAAATCATCCACTTTAATAGGATTTTCCACCAAATAAGCCATCCAGCTATTCAACTACCACCATTTTAGGAAACCCCATATCATGGAATATTCACAATTGGAATATACCAATCAATTGTTGCACGGTGGGTTATATCATGGAATATTAAAGCCCCATGTCTAGTAATTGCAAACACCCACTAGATTGTAGTTAGATATAATTAGATATTATTAGTAATAGCTAATTGCTCAAAAAACCCATTGTCATGGAATTATCATATCACACTGCCAATCATAATTGTAATTAGATAATGATAATATTAGTAACTATCATGATAATAGTAATAATTCCGATTATTGTCATCTGGTTGCTGGTTTCAACCCCTCTGAAAAATATGAGTTCGTCAGTCGGGATGATGAAATTCCCAATATATGGAAAGTCATAAAATTCATGTTCCAAACCACCAATCAGATATATAGAAATATCACCTATAACCCATAATAGCTATGTTAGTTTCAATAGCCATGTTAGTTTACCAGAGGTTAACTATCATGATAGTAATAATTCCAATTATTGTAATTAATGATCATAACATTAAAAATATATTAATATTACACTATTAGTAATTATCATAATATTAATAATGATATCTAATAATTGTAATCATCACACGGCCAAAACACGGGAGGCGACAGCAACGACCACTGGCACTTGCTGGCACCTCAGAGGTGGCCGCCACTGGGTTTTGTGGGTGACCTTGGAAATCTTTAACGATTACACAATATACCATGCATACATCTTGGAGATGTGGATATTTTCCGAATTTTACATATGATATACAATTGATATATATATATACTATATCCAACTAATTCCAAATAATTCCATCCAAACATACATTCTCAATCTTACACCTGTAATTTACTTGTTTGTTGGTGGTTGTTGATGTTTATTTGTGAGGGCCCACTGGAGGTCATCGCAGAATTACCACAAAAACTGTTGATTTAATCTGAGATTTCATGATATTTATAGTCAATTTATAGCGACAATTAATGATAATTAATGTCGGTTTCGCAGACACAGCAACCAGCACGATGGCAACAACATGACAAGCCCAGGCACCGCAGCTGCCGAAGTGACTTTGCAGTGCCTGGTGCCAGCTTTGGTGAAAGTTCCAGTGGGATGTTGATTGGTGCTGATTCTTTTTTGCGAATATTCCATGTTTTCACAGCATGTCGTTGAGGATATCAGACTGACCACAAAACTGACCGGGGAAGCCAGCCATGGGGGTTGGATCGCCTCCTGAATGGACGCCTCCAAGATGGTCGCTGAGGGCATTTCCTCCTGGAATTCCCAGCAGACGATCAAAGGATTGGTTAGGTTAGGGAAAATCCTCTGGAAACGGTCGGCCGCTTTCGAATATAGGCTTTTCCTGCAGATTTTCCCAACAATGCTGGGATATCAACTTGTTGGGGCCTATATCCCACTAAAATCGATTTTTCATTTCTATGATTTGTTCAATTCTATTATTATTGGTTTCATGGCATAAACAGCCAGGTTGTCCACTGGGAAGCAGGGCAGGAGCCGCGTCCTGTCCAGCGAAAGTCAGTTGCACCCGCAAGTAGCACCTGCCACAACGACACTGATCAATGGGTATGGGTCAAGTTATTGACCCCAAAAATGCTTGGATGGTTCCAATAATTGGATGGTTATAATTAATATGTTAATACAGAAGCTAGACTTAAAATGACTTAAGGTACCCCCAGCTCATTCATTTTGACCCATACCATCCCATACCAAGAAAACGCTGCCGTTTTTTTTTTCGGGGTTCCATATGGTTCCATTTTAGTCGCAGAATGTCCGCCTGGTGGGTCGGAATCGCCGGGACCTCGATGACCTAGCGGCTAAGCGATTGGGTCACGATTGGGCGATGGAGAAAAATGGCGATGAAATACGGGGGGGTCCTACTCGCCATTTTGATGAAAACTTGCAGGAAAGCATGGTTTTTACCAATGCTTACATATTTTTATATATTTTTGTTGTTTCCGTCCCTGTCACATTATCAACAGTTCAATTCAGCAATCAAAACATATCAAAGATGTTCCAAAGTTAGCATGAGATGCTAAACATTTCAAGAGTTGACTAACACACGTCAAAGTTGTAGAAGAAGGAACATACAACCAATCCTATCCTATGACAGGAGGATAGACCGACCAGCTTTTGGATATGCAATACACATCTCATATACAGCTCTATACAGTCATATAGTGTCATATACACATTCAATAATATATATATCATATATATAGATATACATATATATATATCATATATATATATAAATATCATATGTATATATATATATATCATATGTATATATATATATATCATATGTAAATATATATATAATATATATATATATATCATATATATATATCAAATATAATATATACCGCACAGCACGATTGTAGACTCTATAGACCTCACAAGACAATTGCCACTCCAAGAAACTCCTTTCTTTCAGGCGGCGGAGCCATAATTTCATCAGCTTCGCCGTCCGCCGATGCCATTGGGATTTTCGGAATTGATGGGATTTCCATGGGGAAAAACCCGGGATCCTGCCATGGTCGCCTTGAGTCGCCCTAAAAAGATGCTGCCATTGCTTCACAAACTGCGAAGAACTGAACTTCTAGGTCTGCTTTCTTCCAGTGTTTCCGCTCTGTCAGGTCTAAGTAGCCTTTCGACATCTTATAACTTATGTGACTTATGTGACTTATATGCATCAAGCTAAGCAAACCTGAGGCTAAGAAGGTCAGGCACATGCAATTGGCAATTTCCACTGCTGATGGCTTTAGGACCTCGATTGACTTAACCCAAGCGGCCAATTTGGAATGAGGTCAAACTGTGAATCAGAAAGACACATGTTTTTCGCACGTTAAACGCTAGATGGTCACAGGAACAATGTCGAAATGGGTTCTGCAATCGGCCAACCTTCATATTTTTATGCAGAAACTAAGAATGAGCAGACATGACCCAAATGATTGGACATAAGAGTCTCACACAATAGTTTGGAATTCACATCGCTTGGTGGATTTACATCATGAAATGACCTTGGTCTTTTGCTTTTCTACACCATCCTGCAGGAAAAACACATGGAACCATGCTATAGAACTAGGCTGTCCAGCAAGGTGAATTTTAAGTCTCATCATGCCTGGTCCATGACATGCCCAGCCTGTGATCTTCTTGATACCGTAAGCCATGGCGACCGGGGTGGCAGCTGGGGGGACGGACTTAGGTGGGTTGGATGGGTAGGGCTACTTTCAGGCCAACTTTTAGCCCAAAAAATATAGAGAAGGGCCAACTGTGAGGGTCCCAGGGTGCAGTGATCTCTATAGCATGAGCCATTTCGCTTCATTTCGATTCATTCCGAGCTGCGTAAATTGGATAAATTCCGTGGAATTTGACGGCTGCGCAAGGGTGTGAATCTGATGGCACTACACCAAGCTGGTATGCGATCCTCTGAGATTCCTCACATCACTTTAGATCCGGCATGGCATCAAAGCAGCTGGGCCTTCCTCCCAAATGGTGATCATCTGCTGCCAAAAAACGGCCCAGCGCTACGTTCATCCAGGAGTTGACATATTTGACATGACCGTATCCAACAATGGCAACTGATTTTTCTCCGTATCTCATAGCCCGTGATTTCCGGGCGCCCTCGCACGGAACATACGGAACTCCGCTCCGGTGGCACTGAAAAGTCGGTGCACCGATCTTCAACTGCGACCCCACACTGAAAAGGGATTTGATTGCGGTTGTTACATTTTGGCTGGTTTACACATGATAGGATTCAGTAAGTGGTATCATTTGTACCCTGGACCCTGGACATGTTTGAGAAGACACATTGATCAATGATCCATTGCTCAGAGACAATTTGGACATACCTTGGGGGGAAAAGAAACGATTCTGAACCTTGCAGCGCTTGAGGTACAGAAACATATTGAATAACTTGTAGGCATTGTTAGGCCTTGCAATGCTTGTTCATGTACAGTTCATGGATGCACCCAGTTTGACACTTTCACATCATCAACATCCTCTGTCGAGCTACGGACACCGCAGGGTCCCGGCATGATGTCACCGACGGTTGGGCACTCGCGGCTCACGAATGCGGAAGAGCTCAGGTTGTAGCTTTTGCACCTCAAAAAATTAGTCTTTTTGCAGAAATGGGGGTACCCCAAAACGGTAACTTAACATACGTACTTTAATCATCTTCAATTGGTACAGGATCTGATGATCAACCACTGGATTCTGGGGGCTTCGCTTCAGTGCGTCAAAGATGTTCCACAACACATCTTAACACAGCATGAAAAAAACGTCTTTGGAGATGGTGATCCTAGATATTTCATGATTAAATGATGATCAAATGATTATTTCATGGTTATTTCATTGTATTTTTGGATGATTTCCACCATATCTTCACCGTTCCTCGACCCACAAGGGTGGCCCCTTTCTGGGCCCAGGCTTTTTGAGGACCCCAACACCCTGAAGGCCATCGCTCATCCATGCGGCTTCCATCTTCACCAGGTCCTACCGTGTGCGGAAACTTGAACGTGAGATCACTGAAAAGATGACTATGATGTGACTATTTCTCATAATCTTGGATGAATTTTGGATGCTTGGGATGGACATTGGATGAATTTTGGGTGGACATGGGATGTGTGGAGGTTTCCGAAAAGATTTAAAAGGATCTAAAAGGAAGCTGATGTGTGGAAGTTGGCCATGGCCTGTTTTGACACTTGGACACACTGGGGATCACTTGGGCCAACGATTTTTGTTTTTTCTCCTAAAGAAATCAACCTGCAAGCATCATTCTAGATAGAATGAAAATGTATGTAAACATGCACACATGAAAGAGCATATCAACACAAGTCGTTGGCATACTTAAATGGGCCATGGGATTAGTTAAGTGGTTAGAAAGTAGCTTATTGTCCATCCTTTAGTCAATTTTTTCGCCAGCTACTAACCAGCTAACCACTCCACCTAAGTACCGTAATGTATCATTCGTCAACCTTACTACCATCAATATAAGATGCGTTGATCCATCTTCATCCAACCTGTTCGGAGGTGTCGCGGATCGTCCGCAGAGGCCCTTGGATCACCAGCGAACCTCAGGGGATGATGGGGACCGATGGTCATCAGAAAAAAACCACGACATCCGGACCTTGGAAATATGACAACGGAAAAAACATGAAAAACACATCTTGTAAACATCGTTGATGGGTTTATCCATCGTTTTCCAAAAAAAAACTGGCTAGACATGGTGATTTATCCACTTCTGTTGGTTGCCAAGAGAGTGACGTTGGCCTAGACATCACCGACTGAAGCGTTGAAGAATGGCTCAACTCACCCCAGATCCAAGCCCAGCACCGCAAGGTAATCTCGCTCGGTACTTGGTCCGGCCGCCAATCACCTCCTATTGCAAGCGAGCGTCATGGTTTGAATCATGCTTTGAAGAAACAAAATGGCATAGAGAAAGAACACAACATGGGAATACAAACCATGGACTGTTGGAATCTAGTCCTGTATGTAGGTCAAACATGACCAAACATTGTGATTCCTGGGTCTCAACTTTAAACCCATACCCAAATGAATAAGTTTTACCCTGGTGTTGCATGAGTTCTTCACACATCACCGTTGACAACGATCAATGGAATATATGGACCAAAAAAACCCGAGTGGGAGCAACATTTTAGGTGTGGGTCAAAAGATATACCCTGAAATATAAGTTTTTTTTTGTGTATTCTTGTCTAGTGCAACATAGTACAACATCCCAGTTATATCCATTTATGAAAATCATCATGAGTCTGGACAAAAGGAATTGACCAGGATTCACCAAACAAAATCATTGCTAGGCAACAAATGAAATATCTCAAACATACCAATCACATATCATATCGTATCAAATATCAAATATCAAACATCAAACATCATATATCATATACCAGTAGTACCGCACAAGGCGGTGGCGGAAGTTTCAAACATAGGAAACCTATAGGAGAGATCGGTTGTTGTGAATCACGGATGGCAGAGCGAATCCACTGATGGACCGAAAGGTGGTTGGAGCTGTGTTTTTTGGAGTGGCTGCAATGGTTGCAGTGATCACCCGGTCGGTCACCTCACCCACAACTGCTGGATGTAGTGTGGTGTAGTGCAGCTGTAGTTGTAGTTGTAGTGTAGTGGAGTTGTAGTTGCAGTGTAGTGTAATTAGTGTAGTGTAGTTGCAGTTGCATTTGTGGCGGTGTAATGAATGTAGTGTAATGTAATGTAATGCAATGTGGGGTAGGGTAGTGTAGTGTAGTGTAGTGTAATTGAGTGTAGTGTGGTGTGGCTTGATGTAGTGTGGTGTAGTGTAGTGTAGCGTAGTGCAGTGGAATGTAGTGTAGTGTGTAGTGTGTAGTGTGTAGTGTGTAGTGTGTAGTGTGTAGTGTGTAGTGTGTAGTGTGTAGTGTGTAGTGTGTAGTGTGTAGTGTGTAGTGTGTAGTGTGTAGTGTGTAGTGTGTAGTGTAGCGTGGTGTAATGCAATTAGTGTAGTGTAGTTGCAGTTGCAGTTGCGGTTGTATTGTAGTGTTATGTAATGTATTGTAGTTGGAGTTGTTGTAGTTAGTGTAGTGTAGTGTAGTGTCGCGTGGTGTAGTGTAGTGTAGTGTAATTGAGTGTAGTGTACTGTAGTGTCCTGGAGTGTAGTGTAGTGAGTTGTAGTGTAGTGTAGTGGTGTGTAGTGTAGTGCAGTGTAGTGTAATGCAATTAGTGTAGTGTAGTCTTATGTAGTTGTAGTTGTAGTTAGTGTGATGTAGTGTAATGTAGTGTAGTGTAATGTCATTAATGTAGTGTAATGTAATGTAGTGTAGTTGCAGTTGCAGTTGTAGGTGTAGTGCAGTGTCATTGAGTGTAGTGTAGTGTAGTGTAATTAGTGTAGTGTAGTGTCGCGTATTGTAAATGTAGTATTGTTGTAGTTGTAGTTGTAGTTGTAGTTGTATTTAGTGTAGTGTAGTGGAATGTAGCGTAGTGTACTGCAATTGAGTGTAGTGTAGTGGAGTGTAGTGGAATGTAGTGTAGTGTAGCGTAATGTAGCACAGTGTAATTGAGTGTAGTGTAGTGGAGTGTAGTGTAGTGGAATGTAGTGTGGTGTAGTGTAGTGTAATGTAGTGGAGTGTAGTGTAGTGGAATATAGTGTAGTGTAGTGTAGTGTAATTGAGTGTAATTGAATGTTGTGTAGTGTAGTGTAGTGGAGTGTAGTGTAGTGGAATGTAGTGTAGTGTAGTGTAGTGTAGTGTAATTGAGTGTAATTGAATGTAGTGTAGTGTAGTGTAGTGGAATGTAGTGAAGGTGTAGTTGTAGTTTTAGTGTAGTGTATTGGAGTGTAGTGTGGTGTAGTGGTGGTTGTAGTTGAAAATGTTACAAAACCCCACGTTTTGCTCGCTTCTGACAAGGTGCGCAATCCCTTGCGCCTGCCGCGAAACGACATCTGAACGTCCAAAAGTGGTCCGAATCCTTGGTGTTTTTAATATTTTGACTTCGAAATGTGCTTCGCGCCACAACGGCGTGCACTTTTTCGAAATCTCAA